AATCGATACACATCCTATCAGCTTACCTGTTTTCCGGAGCAATTTGAAGAAAACATAAGAGGAGGATGCCATTTCAATGATAAGAAAAACCACGAAGGATTGTTTAATTACGTGACTAAAATCTTAAATTGCATTTGTTTTGTCACGCACTCCTCAAAACACGCGCTGAAACATCACTCAAAAACAAGGAAGTAGTAGGGGTAGGATGATATCAGTTTTACGTAGTTTCGGTTGAAAGATAATCTTTCTTTGATGTTTATTTTGTTTGTGTTCAAATAGCTCGTTCGATGCCGAACACGTTCTGAGAACTAATACGGAAATGATTGCGAAATAGTGCGGGTTGTGAAGCCGTCTTTATTAAAATTGTTCGCGCGTGAAGACTCGATTGAAAATGCGTGAATGCAATGAAAGAGAGTGTTTATGAAACAAAAATTAATCCATGGTAATAATCAACTTGCTTGATCTATGTACTTCAACAGAACCTTCGCCTTATCCGCAGATCGTGGCGCTCATTATTAAAACCTTTCTTCAGAACCAATAGACCGCAAAGTGTATATGTCACGTACGGCCTGAGGGAATTGGAAAATTGGAACGGAACGTGCCAAATAAAGTGGGCGCAATATCAGACGAGTGGGTCTATTAATGGCGTGTGCCCATGACCGAAAAAAATTTTTTTTTGATTTTTCCTATAACACAAACACACCGCTATACGTGATTCGAAAATATACATTTTAAGTTTGAAATTTCTAATTAGACTGACACAGTGCATCCTACTGTCGTACGCGAGAAAAAATCCCATAAGGATCTCTGCTTATGTTATTGGTTAAAATCACTCCAAAGCGAGCTTTTGAAGTTTTCGTGAGCATGGAACTAGGATGGCCAACAGCCAGCATACTATCACTCACAGATAAAAGTTGCTTATATTCTTTAGGGAAGCAGTGTGAATCGAGCTAGTACGTGATACGTAGAGATGAAGCTGTCACGGACCAACAAAACAGAGGCGTATAGATAGGGATTTTTCAAATTATGGTCGAGGGGGGCTAAATTTAATTAGTTTCCGCTCACTTTAGAGTACAATTATTACTTTTTTCGTCGGGGAAGGGGGGGTCGGTAGATTTTCATGGGGAACAGAAGAGGAATCGGTCGTCGCTAACAGGATATAACTAAAGGGGGGCCATAGAAAATTGACAGCAAATCAGGAGTATTAGAACACTACAGAAACTTAGGTGGGATCAAGCAAATGGTATTGTAATACTACCAAAATCACCCCCCTCCCCCACAACGATTAATAATGACCAGTCTCTTGAGTGAATCTGCTTATACCGCTGCTCTGCATTAGTTATCAGTGGGCTCGTATTCACAGAGTATGAAAAAGAGGCAAGTAAAGGGCCATTTTAAAAAATATTTAGTCTGTCTTTCACTTAATAAGTTGATTAATTTGTTGGTCAGTCTGTAATTCAGCGCGACGTTGTCTTATCACAGTTTTACGATGAAGTTGATTAGGCGAGTGTAGGCATCTCTATATTTGAAAATTTTATTTACATTTGCACACACCATAAACGTTTTTTTTTGTCGCAATAAATAATAGCACATCTGAGAAGTCGAAAATGATTTTTTATATATACGCTTTTTCAACAAATGTCCATCCATTTCTCTCGTACGCTCTTGATTTGAGCAAAACGTTGAATACGCCAACAACAAGTCATTCTATGGCGGCAGCGACGCAGTAAGCTATACCCATTAGAATGAAGAAGGGTAACAGAAACACGCCCAATATAAGGTACCCTGGCGTTAGAAGTAACACCCAGAGGCAGGCTGTAAGAGAAATTAAAAAAAACGTTAATCAATCCTTGTCTCAAATCGTAATTATTGTATGAGCAGGTGTTAATTCGTGTAAGACATCGTACATGCAACTTAATTTAATACCAAGGCTGGTCTAAAAGCAATCAAAACATTAAGCTAATTTTGGTGAGTTTTGTCTGCTGTTATTTATAAGTTATTAAAGCTAGAAGTTTAGCCAGTTACTAAGAATTCGCTTTGTATGTAAGACATGTAATAACCAACTGAATGAACTAAGCTCAGCTAGGTTTCAAACAGCGAGAAATGATCAGGAAACTAAGGAGATTGGGTACGGGTATACGTATGCTTCTGGCTTGGAGCGCTTTGGTTGAGGACTTGTAAACTCACGCTCGTAACAGATAAATTTATGAGCATTCTAAGTTACTTCACTTTTTCCCTTGAATTTTTTTTCTTTTTTTGCATAGAAACTTGCGCCTACTGGTAAATTAATATGATGAAAAACTAGAGCCAACCGCTACTTAGATGTCGACGCCCATTTTTCCGCGCTTAACCAACATACATTTTCTCAGATTTTTAATCGGTTCATTTTATTACCTCCCTTTGATTAGCTCCTTTCTTTGGTTTAAAATTTTCCTTCAATTTGGGACTGAAAGTTTAAGGTCTTTCTTTTGTATTTATTTGATGTCAGTGGAAAAAAAAAAGCCATACCTTTACCACGAATGCTATACCACGCATGTCCCTTTTCACAAAATAAGCATCCATAGCAGTAATCGCAGCGGTATTCCGGGTTCGCTTTCTCGACGAATTCCTCTCTGGATGGCTGGGTTGTCAGAAGCGGTAAGGCGTCGCTGCAATGATTATAAAAGACAGGTTATCATCGCTAAGATAAATAATTTTTTCACAAGAGGTAGATAGAGGGGATTTATGGAAGAAAAGCATCTTGATGTGGAGACACTAAGACACAGGAAACTTTAGGGTTTCGTAGTGTCGTAAACGAATTGTTGTATAGTGTTTTTGGCAATAAAGAATGAAAGAGTATGAGTGCATGTGGAAGTTACTTCGTTAGGAGAAGTCCAATGCGATTTGGTCAAAACAAAACCAGGAAACCCGACTCTTTGCCCGTAATACGTGGGTTCTTTAACGACCCCTGTTAACCAGTACAGGAAGATGCCGGAGACAGGGCCTATGAATTGTCGTTGTTATCCGAGAAGACTAGAATGTGTAACTATCTGCAGATGTCATAGCAAAAGCGGCAAATTCTCTTCAGTTATCTTAACGCCCTGAGGGCCGCTTAGTTACACGAGGTCTAACCCAACCGCGGTTTTCCGTAATCAGAGGGCCTCAGGGCTTCTCCATAAGAGCGTTGATTTCACTGAATAAAGGTCCTTCCACTATAAGCTTCCGGCCCTCTTGAAACTGTTCACAAAGATAAATGTTCAGGTCAAAAGGTTCGGCTACATTGAAGATGGCTTAGAACGTGGTTTTGTTAAACAAGGACTAAAGTTTGTTTGAAAAATCGGCCCTAAGTGTTGGTCCAGTCTAAGGCTTGAACCTTCGACCTTCCGCACGGCAGTCCAGCGCTCTGCAACTAGCTAACCAAGCATGGTTTTTCATTGCACTAGCTGGAAGAACCCACGCGAAGCATGACGCAATGCTTTTTCATTGCCTTTTGCATCTTGTTTACTCACTTGCCTGTCGAATTGTGTCTGACCTTATCTAAACATTTGCTGGAACAGCTTCTCGACATTATCACAAAAACAAGCTGTGATCAAATGGAATTTCCGTAGCTACAAAAGATCTCTCACCTGTCCTTCGTTACTTCTTGGGCGGTTTGAAAGTCACTAGGTTCCACTTGTACTGCCACGCTTGTACATGTGCTACGTGAAATAGCAAACAACAACAATAACAATAAAAACGAGCATCAGTGTATCATGGACTCATCAGAAAAGAAATTGAAATTGAACAGGTAAAGCACACAAAAAAAAAATGAGTGGATTATTTTTAAAACCGCTAAAACGTTATACATTTAAAAGGAAAGTTTGTTCAGCATGAACTGACATAGATTCATAGCATTGAAAAGTTGTTACCGGATTGCGAAATCTCGTATATCCACTTGAGTGCCGCACCTAAGAACGGTACAATAAAGCAAATGAGTGACAGGTTTTTTTCCCTGTAGCATGGAGTACAGCACAACAAACCCCACAAACTCTGAGACTACGAGCAGAGTCTCTTTCTCAGTTTATTCCATTGCGCAACTCAAATTTAATTCGGCGGGAGAAAGATAAACATGTAAAACAATAATAATTCCAAGCCCCTTGAGTTACAGGAGCCATTCTCGCGCTTTCCCGCTTACATCATTGAGAAACTAGAATTACTGGTTCCCTAAAAAAACTAAATAAATAACTATGGAGCAACATTTTACGATCTTTTCAGCGTTAAATAAAAAAAAATATGGTGCTCTGTTAAACAGCTCCCTCTTCTGATCGTCCTCCTTTTTTTCCTAGTTCGTTCGCTTTTTTTTCTTCTTTTTTTTATTTACTTTTCTTCCTTCTTTCACGCTTTTCTCGATTATATTTCAGTATCTACTTACTCTACAACCGTCTCCTTTTTTTCTGTCTCCATTTTTCCCGCTTCATGTGAGTTGAAAGACAACTGGATATTCTAAATATGGTGTGGCAATTGTCCAAGTAAAAGCTACAAAGAGAGCGGATCAAACAGAAAGTCAGAAATCAACATATCGTGGCTCAAGTTAGTTGAAGGAATTAGCGGAAAAGTTGTTTTCCTTGTAACTAACAATTATTCGCTGAAGGCTAAGTGAATATTGTTCAATAATTCCCGAGACGAGGTCGAGGAAATTGTTAAAAAAAATCTTCCCTGAGCCTGAGGCGAGTAATTGTTTTAGCGTAATTGCCCAGGTGCTTTCGAATTCTGTTGTATATTCCGGCTTTAAATAAAGAAAGCGCCTTACACATATTTTGTTACAATTGTGGTAATTACTCGATCAGGAGGTGTGTAGTTGGTGGAAGATTTGGGGGGGGGGTTACATGCTTTTATGGGGAACGGAGGGTAGATCAGAAAACGGCAACTTGGGGGAATCAGGCAAATTTCATCGTGACAAAACCAAAATCCTGCGGGTCCCCTCTCCCCTTCCGCACGGGAGTCCGAAGGGGGAAGGGGACCCAACAACATCCGTGTAATAACATCTGTACAACATCTATGTAAAACTGTTCGTTCTCTGCGATTCAGTTTATGATGGAGAAACCAAAAAAAAGTATGTTAATTTTTCAAGTCTTTCATCTTTCGTTGAATATATTTGGTAGGAAATGTTATTTCGTTTTGTCACCTGAAACTGGTGTCATTGCGACATTGAGACTTAAGACGTAAAATCGTATGAAAGTAGACAAGTTATGAGGTCTGTGACAGTCGACAACAACAAAATTTGATAAATAACTATTTGAAAAATATGTTAAATATACTTTGAAGCACATGGTATTTACTAAAGTCTGTTGGTCTCTACGTACCCTGCATAAATATTCCCGCCAACTTACATACTAACGCGGAAGAATTTCTTCAGCAAGGAATGTTTTTAACGGGGTTACAGCAAGATCTAGACAAAATAAGTGCTTGAAATTCTCGTACCATGCAATGGGATTCGGGAGCTTTTAGTTGGTTATAATTACCATTTATAATACCTGGCTTTTGGCTTCACTGGTCTCAATTTTCTCGACGGTCAGTGACCGAGAGTTCGAACGGCTAGTATCTCAAACGTTAACAATTTCTATTCCTCTCAGAAACCTTTTTCTTCCCGTCGATCCTAAGATCGCGAGTTTAAATAAAGATATTTCATAAAAGCTATCATCACTGTTTGGAAATTTTGCCAAAAATTAAAGTTTTAACAGAAAACAGAATTTATCATCGAAAGTGCGAAAAAAACTCCTAGTTAGCAATCAGTAATAATTAAAAAGAAAAATAACAAACATGTTAAATGTCTTAAGTTAGATAAGCAAGGATACTTACCTTTTTGAAAAGTATTCTACATTTCGAATTCAGTTCAACAAAAAATTTCGAAGCTTAAGAGCCGTTTCCCTGTTGTCGTCTATGTGAATAAATATTTCTTTTAATGGATTACGTCATGGTCTTGGCACCTTTTCAATACACACTCAAAATTGTTTCCAACCAAAAAAATAAAAGAAGATGCGATTTTTTTAAAATTTTCCTCAACATAAACTCTCTATAGTCGCAAGGGCCTCTGTACCCAAACATTTCTTTGTAACGATCACTGAGTTATTCGTCGGAATAAGGAGGAAGGTGAGTCGTGGGTGAATTTATTCTCGTGTCATTTGAACCTCAGACATAAGGTTGTTTTAGTGTAATTAGGAATTGAAAAATTTTCCTTGGTGCTAACAAGCAGCAAAATTTGTTAATAAGCGTGGGAAACTTAAACATGGTCTTAAGACTATCTCTTAAACAAAACTTTTAAAATTTACGGAATGAGTTTTATAATGCATTTGAGATAAACTGATTCTGGTTTTGAATCTGAGACAGTTTGAATTGCGATACAGTGTGGCTAGTATCAGAAACATTTCAAAGAAATGAATAGAAATGTTACGAATCAGATTGATTACAGGTTAGTGTAAATATAAAGTAAAGCAAGACTATGCTCATCTCAAGAAAGCCGAGTCAGCGTCATATAGTTTGAACAGAACTAAAAATAAAAACATGAAATACAAACTCCGACATCATGAAAAAAAAATTAATTGTTCTTTGACTAAACTTAAATAATTTCTTCTTCAGCGTTCACAAGTATTCATTCTTTTGGATGAATCAAGCTTAAATCAAAACATTTTTCAAAATGATTCATTTAAAAATTTGTAAAGAAACAATATACGATGAAATTGAGAGAATATTACGTGTGTTGATTATTTTTTTCCGTGATGGCGATCAGAATATGATGCTGTTGATGTTTACTGAAAAAAGAAAAACTCAGAATCGAAGGAATCAAAATCAGCCGCTGGAATGCTTATTTCATAAAAAAACTGCAAATGATAATTCAAACAATTTCAACAACAAAGTCATTGCCTCTAGGTCCATTTACATTATGGTTTAAAAAGAATTCAATACCAAAATTCATAATAACCAAACAAAGAAAGATAATCTACATTTTGTATGAGATGGAGAACCATGTCGTAAGTTTAAGAAGTAAATTGTAATACAAAGGATTATTTACGTAACCTAGATGTCCGTGTGATAAATTATACAAATAAAATTTTAGAGGAAAATGAAAAACATCGAACTTTTCCTGGATATTTGTTGTCTACCTGATTTTATCTGAGAAGTGCGCTGGGATGGAAATCAAAATCTTCGTGTAAGATTTACATGAAAGTCGGCTCCAACGAAAACTGATATTTTCGATTGAAGTCAGCCATAGATTATGTTATCTTTCAATTTGAAAATCGCGAAGACTTCAATCCAGAAACGGAAAAACATTAGTCAGTATCTATCCAATGCAGAGGCTCTTAATATGACGTTTCTCTTTAATCTACCTTATCTCGATTTGATTGTGTTTCTGTCTGATTTAAACCGATGTTAATTCGTGTCAATCTCTCAGGCCTTTGTATCCTTAAAAGTTTGTCTTGAGTCCCTGATTAAAATTGAAGGTCTAAAATAAGGTTTTAACAAAGAAAATGATTTAATATTTAAGGTAGATTGGCATCCTATCGATATATTACAGGTAAGTTTTTCAAATTTCCACAATCCACAATTTCAATACATAACTCTCGTTCAAAATCTTACCTACCGAAAGAAAGCTTACTTGAGATAATAGTGCATTGATCTTACGCCAATGCTGCCAAATTCAAATAGAAACTGGTAAACGTGGATATTTTTATGTCAAGGTTGATAATTGGAATAGACATCTTTATTCCAGCAACATAATTTGTTTTTTTTTTTAATATTTGAATTACAAATTTACTCCTTATCTCATAACGGTAGCTGCTATATGGACTAAACAGCGGTTTCAAAGGATTTTTTTCCCTAGAAACATATGAGCTGTGCTTTCTTCGAAGAATCTCGGGCATTACGGCAAATTATGCTTTCATGCTGCGTGCTGTGTTATACAGAAAGTTTTCATTAATATTTAACACAAACAGAAGATTTCTTGAAGCAAACTGTGTGGAGTCGAATCAACAGAAATATTACAGATATCCCTGAACGTCAAGCTACTTAAAAATTTGCTTAGCTGGTCTTCCCTTGCTACAGAGTTGCAGCTTGAACCATCCTTGTTGATAAGCAAAAACGTGCACGAGAAAACATTAATGTATAGAATTCTGTTTTAAGCAGAGCCTTTTAGAAATTTCTAAATGTACCCAATAAAAGCATTCTCAAACAATTACTTACCTTTTCAATAAGAATTAAATTGAACCGAGCAACCCTTAAGTTCACGTCAGTATATAAAAGTAACATGAAATCATTTTAACTTCAAAGAATCTTGTACCACGGCAAATCTGATTAAGCCATTCCATATTCAAAATCGACCAATGGGACATTCCCAACCTCCGATGAAAAGCATAATTAATCGTTTAATCTTTCAGACCATCTTAGTATTCAGATTTTCTCAAGATTAAGCTATAACTCTTAAACCGCATACAATTGGTCTAATTCTTCGTCAGAAATTTGCATATTTCATCTCTTTGATCCTGGTAATTTCAAATCTTTTTCCGTTTTATATTATAAATGGGCATTAAATGGTTATTGCAGTATGGTATTTTATTCAATCGAAAATATTACTGTAGAATTGCACGAAAATTTCTCTCAAATTAGCCCGGCTTGTATTCGAAAATCGTTTTTAGTTGTTTTGGTGATGATGAAACCGATGAGACACCTGAAGGCGCACGAAATGCTAATGTTTTTGTTCTAAAAACGCGCTCTGAGATTCAGAAAAGTTACCCTCTCACAAATTGTAATACTAAAACGTGATTTATTCATGAAGTACCATTTCTATCCAAGATAGAACTTCACATTGCTTGCAGCAGAGCTACACTTCCAAAAAATATCAAAAATAAATTAAAGTAGTTTCTGTGTGTATGTGTCTGTGGGTGCCCATCATTAGTGTCTGTCCCTAATTTGATGTGTTTTTATCTTTACTAAGAATGCTCTATTTTTCTGCCCCCTATTGTTATTTTGGACAGCTCGTACTCCTCTTTGAAATCCTAGCCGGTTAAATAATTTCTTCAGAGGAAATTTTTTTGTCTCGTATTTAATCTAATTTACTTATCTTAGGAGAAGAGGCGTTTGTGTTGGCTGGAAATTCATGACATTCTTGGATATAGCGGTGGAAATAATCTCCATTAAAGAAGGAAAACACAACAACTTGATTTTTTGTAACGGACGGATGAATTCAAACAATTATTTACATTCTTCTTGTTTTCAGGTTAAAAGTTACCAATTCATATTTCCGAGAATTGACTATCCCTAATTACCTCAATATTCCCTGGACAGTGGTTTCATGGCAACCTGCCATGACGTCACGAGGCTACGAAATACACTCGAGATGACTACCCTCACTGCCTCAGAATTCCTTGGCTTTTGGTTCAATAACAATTCGCCATGACGTCAGGAGATGTGCATTTTTCAAAATACAAGCGTTTTTTATTTGCCGGGGTTTGATCAATTATGAATTGTGCATTTGAACTAGTTTTGTTTCATTGAAAATAAAATACACTTTCAGTGATTATTATATTGTGCCCGTAAACGTTTCGTCAATGTGCCAACAATCTTTCTTTGTCTCGTTACTTTAATTTTGCAGAGAACGTCTTATAAAAGGCTGATACGTGAACAACTTGCCCCCTGAGGGACCTGGTGCTGGCTTAGCTAATCCCAGTCAAGGTAGTTGAAAATTGGCCATTGTTTGGGTGTTTCTCGAACCGATTGAGGTTCGAAAATTTTTTATACACACACAAAAACGAAAAAAAAGAAACAAGACCATTACTTTTCGTCTTTGTTGTTGCTTTTGCAATGCAAGGTGTCGGATCTCTTGTTGTGATAATTATATTTAACTTGAATCAGTGTGATAAATAACAAAAAAGATAAATGCTTTAGAATTGCGCAAAGATTATAAAGGCGTGTAGTCATTGAAGAATTTTGTTTGAGGAATTTTTCACGGTAACAGGTATAAAAATTGCAAATTATTATCAATTGCATAATTCGTTAAGAAGGTATTGAGTTGCCGATATGCAAAAAGTTATGAATAAGTAAAAAGGTAAATAACATTACCAAACCACCATTGCTATAAATAATAGATTTGTGTGGAAAAAAAACCTGTTAATGGATAGAGATATCGGCAACAAAAGGCAGAATGTGTAAGTTTTTAGACAAAACATGTATAATTTCATTACAGGAAGAGTAAAATAAATAGCTTTTAGAGCAAATTGCTCGAAAACCAAGACGGTATCTTTTGGTATTTGTAATATAATGTCAACTCGACGGTTCAAAGACATTTTGAAGACTGTATGGAGAGTGTTATCATTTTCCGTTTTTTCCATCTAATTTACATAAGACCTTGCGGTAATGGATTAGTTGTTTCGAGAAATTGGTCGGGGGATTTTCACTTTAAATACAAAGTTTCTTGTTTCTGGTAAAACTCATGAAGCTGTAATACTTGTTTGTGATCTTGTTATGATTCATCATTTTTCTTCAGGATTTATCGCGTATAATTCATAGAACGTCATGTCTGATTGGGTTTTCATACACTTCATGGTCGACATGGCTGTGCAAGTTTGTTTATTTCGGGGGAAATTTATTTAATGAGGACACGTTGTGATGCATAAATGAGTGTCATTAACGGTTAAACCTGAACATATCTCTTTATCTTGGTCAATGACGTCACGAAAGCCTACTCAGACGCTGATTGGTTGATGCAGATTGAGGCTCTTTTTCACCAGATCACATGTATTAGTATTTTGGTGGCAACAACTTAATGGAAAATAAGTTCAGTGTAATCTGAGAATGAAGGAAATTGGAGAAGAAATGACAGTTATTCGAGAACAGCGCGTCAGGATTGACAGAAGCGAAGTTGAAGGTGAAGGGTCAGTATAGGAAAAAAGCGTTCAGTTTGCTCTGAGCTATTAATTCATTTATGGTTATTTCTGCAAAGAAGAAGATGCAGTGTTTTACTTGGGTACTTAGCTCTTTGTCCTTGAAGTATTCGACTTACATTCCTATTCAGTGGTGATATAAACCGAAGTTAGACGGTTCGAAGATGACAGAGAAGTTATTTTCCATTGGCATTTAGTTTCATGTTTTGTGATTTCCATAATCTAATATTGATAAATGCAACCGAATATTTCCCCCAAAATGTGTTTTTGTGGGTGGTGTGATAATACGACACCAACCTCAGGCTTACATTAAGCTAACTCAGAAGCCCTTAAGCGCTAACTTCAAAGCCAAACTCGTAAACTGGATATTATCTAGATTATGTGACGACTTGGTTATGAGAACTGACAAATATGGAGAATAGCGTATGTTTGGTTTCCTAAATAGAGTACTCTAGGCCTTTAATCGACGTTTTAGTGATTGAACCGTCGTCAAAACCAACGTGCACAAGTCCCTCACCATGACGACCCTTACCTTTGCCAAGGGACCGGTCTTAATCACCCAAGGAAAGGTGTGGGGGAAAATTGGCGGATTTTGGTTGAGTCACGATGAAATTTACCCGATCCCCCTTCCTTCCTTCCCCCCCCCCCCTCCCCCCATCAGACTATGTGATAGTCCAATAATCTTCCCTCATCAGCGGTTAATTGGCAATTTTCTATAGTTCCCTTCCTCTTTATATTCTGTTGGCGAATGATTCCCTCTCTGTTTCCCTGAAAACTATATGATTTCCCCCCGAATCCTCCCCCCCCCCGGGCGATGGTAAAAACTGGTCCTTAATTCAAAAGAGTCGTGCTTTTAAGAGTGCTTTCTCTTACTATCGAATGTGTACAGTCTTAAAGATTTTAAAGGCGAGGTTTAAATGTTGTGTTGCAAATTGTAACTTCAGCGTTTTCCCAAACCCAAGCGCACCACCTGCCAGCTGTCCAGAAGTAGCATTACCTGACAGCCAAGATAATCTTGAGGTAACATCTGAAGTATCAGAAGGCTGTGTGGACATTTGTTGTGGGTGTGACAGTCGGTATAAGTGGTACGATGACGAAGGAAAAGGTATTTTGTCTCGACGTGGACCATGTTGCGAATAGATAAATAAATGAATAAAAATATCCAGTTAATGATGATGATAATGATGGTTAAAGGACCGTGTGGAGTCCAACTCAGTCTGAAATCATACGAGTGATCAACCAAATCGAATAAACCTGAATTTGGAGGCCGATTTGTTAATTACGAGCATGATTACTGGCCAATTGGACGACACGAAGTCATTTTACCAATTGATAACAACTATTACAATTTCCAAAAAATATATATTCATTTATATAAGGGCGTGTAATTCCAATCTTCAAACATTTAATTATAACAGTCATTGAGAAAAACATTCTGAAAACTCGAGAAAACAGCTTTCTATATTGTAACATCCCTGGCCTGGCTTGGGATGGTGGGCCGTTGCTATGGCTACTGTGGTCAGTTCTTTGATTGGTGAATTTATTTAAGTATACTCAATGTGATTGGCTGACATAACTGTCCCATTAAAGGTTTCCGATCACATCCAACTGTCCGATGACACTGTTCGATTACAACTCTACAGAATTGCTAGTGAAAAATAAGTCAGTTCATCCACCAATCATATTTAAGAAAACTGTAATGCATAGTCATAATAACCTTGAGATTATACTGTTGCAACTGGATCGTAAGTTTAAAAATTCCTTTTTTTCAGGTTTGTGCTGCCTTTTCCTGTTCCATTTTCCATTTTTGGTGATATTCTTGTCCATACTTGCTGCAATCACGTATTTTCTGTATTGGTATATCATCGATTGATATACCAGTAGCAGCTGTTGTGTACTACGAACACTGACTGGTGTCAGTGACTCTGATGCAACCCCCGAATCATTCCCAAAGCATGAATTTTATGATCTTTTCAGTCAGCTGTATTATTCAATCAATCCCCCATCTTCCAGAAAACAGGCTAACAGCTATAATGCCAAAATGACAACTCCAAAAATCACATAACCTACTAGAAGCAACATGACAAAGCATGTACCTGAAAAACGATGAAACTAATCACATATAGAGACTTTTTAACTGATCAACTGATTATGTTTTCTATTCAGCTTGAAACCTTTAACAATAGATCCTACGTGCCAACCTAACAGGAATTGTTGGAAGTGTCGGCCACAATCTTTAATTGCAGGGGAAATCCAAATACTTGAAGTTCTTTTTTTTTCCAGTGTGACTTAGCAAAGGTAAAGTGGGTTCAGAGTAGCTAGTTCCATTTTGGGTAAATGCGGCTTGCCGAACGTGAAATCGTATCTGTTCGATTTTCTTACAACAATAGGACGTCTAACACAAACCAACAACAACAGGAATCTTTGCTTCTTGACTGCTTTTTATTAGGAAAAACTAAGAGAAACGCTTTTTTAATGCGACTTCGCCGCGTTTAATTCGATGTGCACAGACCTCTCTTCTCAAAATTTCATTCCCTAGGTTTTAGTTTTTTTTTTCTTATCCGTAAATTAGCTGTTCAAATCGAAGAACTGCAGGGCGCTGATTCAATACCGTTCGACAGCCAAGATAAGTAATCAAACAAATGAATAAATAAAGAAATACGATGGGGGACTGATAAGTACACGTAAATAAATAACTTCAATTTGACCAAGGTATGATTTGACTAGACAACTCCGATTGCTTGATTGTAAGCTAAAGTGAGCCCTGACAAGTGAGGCTCTGAAAGCATCTGAATGCCTAGCTTTCCCCCGTAAGTCGTACCAGCTGTACCTGGTTTCGTGCTTGAAACAAAAGTCAGCGCAGCTGTCATTTGATGGTGGTCGAGAATCTACTACAACCACCCCTGGAGGAGATAGTAGGGGAGATGTCCTGGCCAAAATAGAAAAATGTTTTTCTTTTCCGCACAAAATATCGAAGTATCAGGAAAAAAGTACTGAGATATTTTTGCTGAATCATTACAGTGTAAAGACCAACATAATTGATTTGAATAAAGCAAAGTTTCTTCTACAAGAAGAAATAAGTATAACACTCATTCCAGTTTTATGAAAATTTCTTCTCACGTAATGATATACAGGCAAGGCGAAAGAGAAGTGGAAGATGGGGTGAACTTTCGGTTATAAGCAAGCTTACCAAGAGGTCGAGAGCAGAAATCATCGAAATGAGTCAGAACTCAGAATTATTTCCGCTTCATTATGGCCTGGTTATGAAGTCATCTTCACTGACTCCCACTGAACCACTGAATTCGCTTACAGACTTAAACAACTCTCCTTTCATTTACAAAGGTTGAAGAGTAGATTAGATTTCATCCCCGTAAACAGATCTACATTTGTACCTGCGCTGGAAAACTCATGAGAGTAAAGCTTTGGAAAAATTTTCAGTATGATAAGTTTAACTAATCTTTGCTCTGTAGCAACAACTTCTGTCTTGTTTTCCAATGGAACTTCATCGATAATGACATGCTGTACCTTAGTTTTGCCACTACGGCCTGCAGGTTGCTATTCATTTCTAAGTCGAATCGTTAAGGTGTGACTACACTCCACTGACAAACAACTTGAACTTTGTGTATTTCGGGGAAAGAAGGACCTTGGTTGGTTCCAGCCAATCAGTAACGACGATGGGGGCATCACTATGACGTCATGAAGTGAGCGTAATTTTACTTTAAGAAACTTTATTCAAATAATTCTTCAAGCTTACCGGAAAACATTGTCTCATATACTAAACTATGTAATAACATTGCTGTTCTAACAACCATGTATAATGCTGTACGAGTTAAGTTCATTTCTTAGCTTTGTACTGAATATGAAAACAGCTTTGTTGGAGGTTGAGTAAGAAACTGAGGTAATTTTTTGATGAAGCATGGAACAGTTTAGCACTTGATCACCACCTTAATCTGACTGACCCGAAGTAAATCTGCTCAAGAGTGCCAAATTCGAAGAAATGAAAACCCAAACTATTTAAGTTATTTTTTAAAGCATTTAGTGAAAACGCTATAGATAATTAAATATTGATTCAATTTAAATTCATCTCCGTAGATAAACCAATGATGTAATCCATTTCTCAGTTATCTCTAGCTGAGCAGATGCACTCGCAAAGACAATACAGCGATAAACATGCCAAAGCGATAACGCCAAAGATCAAATAACCCACAAGCAGCAACAGGACAATGAAGACACCTGAAAAATGATGAAGCAAATTAGAGTTTTGAAACCTAATCAATTAAAATATTTTCTAAGCCCAAAATTCGTGTCCCCAACGTACGGCTTCGTAGCTCAGTTGGTAGAAGCGCCCAGCTAGTATCTGAGAGGCCTGGGTTCGAATCCCGTTGATGCCTGAATTTTTTCAGGCTCTCTTCGGCAAGTGCTTATATTACACCTAAGGCTGCAGAAATCCAAACACTAGAGGTTCTATATTTTGCGAGTGTTGGTTTGCAAAGGTGAGATGAGTTAAGAGTTGCTAATTTCAGTAACATTTTGAATGCCAAACACGATAATGGATCTTTCTATTTTTCGTTCAACGGTATGAGACGTTTCGGCAGTAACAAACGAGAACAATAACATTTTCTAAATAATAGTTTTAATGAGGAAAAACTCAACACATTAATCTTCGGATGTTGCTATCCTATATGTTATAACTTAATTGTTAAATTTATTTTTCTTATCCGAAGCCGTTCTTAGCTGTTCAAACCGAAGAACGCCAGAACGCTGCATCAATGCAATTCAGCTCCAAGGGTAAATAACTAAGGACATGAACGAATGATTTAATGAACGAATAAATACATAAATGAATTTGAAAATGTATAAATCGATAGATAAATACGTTGGCAGATTGATAGGTATAAGTAAATGAATAAGGTCGATTTTGATCAAGGAATGATTTGACCAGACCGTTCTGAATGCCTAATAGGTTTTGCTCGCCTCTTCTTTCTTGGAAAAAGCTCCACATTTATAAGCTACAATGGGCCCTGGCAAGTGAGGCCCTGAAAGCATTTGAGTATCTACCTTTTCCTTGCAAGTCGTACCAGTTGTAGCCGCTCTCACACTTGAAACAAAAGTCACAACAGCCGTCATTTGATGGTGGTGGAGAATCTATCACAACGACCTGTGGGGGAGGTAGTGCGGGAAGTCTCCTAGAAGAAGCCAGAATAGAGAACGTTTTTCCTTTCTAGTAGTATAGATGTCATTTAAACTCCTGTCAAACTCCCTGTGACACAGGATTGGTTGGTTTAAGATCCTCTCTTAGGATTAAGATTGCTAAAAGAAGGAAAAGGAATTGCCTCGATTCTTAATGAAGAACTACTTCCTCAAGGGGAGGTAGTGCGGGAGATGTTCTGAAAAAGGCCAGAATAAAATATCATGCATCAAAATGGATGTGGCATGAACTCTTGTCAAACTCCTCGTGACACTTTGCAGATCCTCTCTTCTGCCCAAACTCTAATCATATGTCGTATACAACCCCACTTAAAATTCTTCCAAAATGCCATGTAACTATAATGAAGCAGAATTTTACCTGGCCAGAACATATTTACAAGGTGTGTATCATAATTATATTCCTTTGACAATGCAATACTTAATTGGTTTTTAAAATAGTCATCTAGTTATTTTTGTACGTCAAGAGCAATAAACAGAAAATAAATGTTTCGAAATCATTAGAAGAGCATGCTGTTGATGTCTGTGATAATTATTATTCCTTATATTATTATTATTACCGTTATTGATCAATGATTATTGTTATCAACTGAGATCGCATCGCGTCCTGTCTTAACACAGGCGGCCCAAGCTCCAGCTGTGAGATGATCATCTTGCGCAATAACGTTATCATTTGTTATCTGACCGCTTACTTTGATGAAAAGAGCCCATTTAAGCAAGTTGTTTATTTCGAGGTTTTCAACGTACATAAGAAAAGCCCAAGGCTGAACACTCCATTTCCGAACGCCTGATCCGAGAAGCGAAAAATCCAAGCTCAAAATGATCGGGCGCCCACAAATCCAACGCAGAATCCAAGCACATATACTGTAGTTTCATTAAAATTCACTAAAAACTCAATCTTCCCCGTGCAACCGACACTAAGCCGCAGTTTGCTTCAAAAATTTCCGGTTTAGAGGTTTCTAACAGCCCGCGGCCACATCAACCTTGACACACGACCGTTGAAAACCAGCTCGGTAACCCTAGCTCCTTTTCGAACTGAGCCTCGCCGGGGACCATACCGTCAGTTATCGTCTATAAATTGTTTTAGAACCACGGGTCCCCTCAGTAGAAATCGATCAAGAGGCTATTGTTTCGATCGGCCAATCGGCCAATGTGATTATTTTCGGAGTCAGAGGAAAACCTTGGAAGGATTTGTTCCAGTATTCAATTTAGCTCTATCTGGACATACTTAGTTTAATGTTGCTAACAAGACAACTGTTATTTCGTTTCGTCCGCACGGATATCAGCAACAACAATACTTACCACGATTTCCATTTCAGATACGAGTCGAATTGATTACGTCCCTGCTGCGACCGTGGAATAGACTATTTTTTACCGACGACATTTTTTCTTTTTGAAATTGAAAGGAAATTATCGAGATTTACGAGATCAGCTGTGCGGTTTGCAACTATGCCTGTAAATTATTTTGAATTTGTAAACATTTCCGGAGGCGAATTCGATTGGCCGATCGAAACAATAGCCTCTTGATCGATTTCTTTTGAGGGGACCCGTGGTTCTAAAACAATTTATTGACGATAACTGACGGTATGGTCCCCGGCAAAGCTCAGTTTGAAAAGGAGGTGGGGTTACCGAGCTGGTTTTCAACGGTCGTGTGTCAAGGTTGATGTGGCCGCGGGCTGTTAGAAACCTCTAAACTGGAAATTTTTGAAGCAAACTGCGACTTAGCGTCGGTTGCACGGGGAAGATTGAGTTTTTAGTGAATTGGAATGAAACTACAGTATATGTGCTTGGATTCTGCGTTGGATTTGTGGGCACCCGGTCATTTTGAGCTTGGATTTTTCGCTTCTCGGATCAGGCGTTCGGAAATGGAGTGTTCAGCCTTGGGCTTTTCTTATGAACGTTGAAAACCTCGAAATGGACAACTCGCTAATATGCGTTCTTTTCATCAAAGTAAGCGGTCATATAACAAGCGATACGCTGTGAAAGTAAGGTGAGGTATTTTTTTTGAGAATTTGACTTATTATTTTATACCTTAGAGCGGTCGTAAATATTCCCATACAAACTCTTATAATTCCGCCATGACTGTTATTGCGCAAGATGATCATCTGACAGCTGGAGCTTGGGCCGCCTGTGGTCTTAATTGCTAAAGTTCTCCATTTACAATATTTTTTGATGTTCTTCATTTTCCACTCTTGCTGTTTGTTGAAGGATTTTGTCGTAGTCTCCTTGAAGCTTAACGTGACATCAGGGGCTCAATTTTCGATGAAGATATTCTCTTATGTTAAAGGCTAACATTTACTGTAGACTTTTACCTTCCGGGCAAATTGACTTCACTTGCCTCTATCACTTCCCTGGCCAAGATGCTGAAAGAAATTTAAGTGTTAGCAAAATGAAAGTGATATCTAAAGTGAATAAGTCTTCACCTGCACATTTTAGATAAAGTGAATCTAAGAGAGAGACGAAACATAGTTGCAATAGGACAGATATCATTGGTCATCGTACGAAACCCCTGGAGTCTACCGAGGAAACTCAGGAGTTCCAAGAATGTTCCAGCAAGGGCTTGATTTCTTATTTACGTTTTATCTTTCTACCTTGGAACCAAATCGGAATTTATAGTGGCGAATTCTCTAGAATCCCCACAAAGTACTGAAACAGAGGGGAAAAAATTTTCCGTCCCTAACAAAAGCTTTCTAAAAGGTGAAAGTGATGTTTTTCTACGATTACAATAAACAGTTGTTAAAGGCGAGCTTCAGATGTTCATATGGCTTGCAGATCAATCGCTCCGACGAAGGGCTAACGCTCGAAACGTCAGCTTAGAAACTCTTTACGGTGGACCATCTACATTATCAACTCATAAAACCAAATTATCTTGTTGTGCTTAGGATAGTTTTAACAGCAAAATTTCAAAGCTTCCCAAACAAGGTCGCAATGTTTGGCTAAATCATTGGAGCGTAAAGATGAAAACAAAAAATTTAAGAAAGCAATGTAATATGTAAAACACTCGCTTTGTACAAACGAATTCTACTAACTTAAAGACATTTAAGCAGACTTTCATGACAGGTAGAAAGGATTTGGTAAATTCTCGGCTACAGTTGAAGTAAGCTTACTAAGAGGTTGAATGAACAACAAGTGAAATTAGTCAGAACTCAGCATTACTTCCGCCTTGGTCATCCGCTGATGGAGTCAATTGAATGGCTCATATCAAACCACTGATTCAATTAAAGGTAAAAACCTACGGTAGAATCATCGTTTTAAAGGCTAACAAAATCTATTTTACAGGCGTTGAACAGGAACTAGATCTCATCGCGGTAAACTGATCCATATTCTTAACCAAACTCATTAAATAAAACCTTTGAGAACATTTTCAGTGTTATCAGCACAAACTAACCCTTGTTCTGTTGCAACAACTGCTGTCGTCTTTTTCAATCGAACTCCATCGATAATGACGTGCTCTTCCTTAACAGCCACTACGGCCTGCGGGTTGTTATCCATTTCCAAGTCGAATCGTCAAGGTGTGACTACACTCCACTGATAAACAACTTAAACTTCCCTTCTGGGAAAGAAGAACCCTGTTTAGTTCTAACCAATCAGTGGCGACAATGGTGGCGTCACTGTGGCGTCACGAGCTTTAAATCTACGGTCTTGAGCTCAAAATTGTCATTTCTGAGAAATGACATGTCGATGATGACTGACATTAGAGCAACTAGTGTAAATGATTCTCTTAATTGCTTAAAGTTAGACTTGCAACCTCACAGTCACACACCGATTAATTTGTCCAAAGTTGTTTATTTTAGACACATTTTCTGTCAATTTTACAAGTGCGGATGGTATGTCGCGACCTGAAAAATTTTGGCCAAAGCGGACAAATCTTCAAACGCACTGCCGACGAAATTTTTCCCGGGTTAAAATTTGGCAAAGTCGACAAAGGGCCTGTTTACATGGAGGTGGGTGAGGTAACCCGCCTAACTGTGGTCGCAAAATAAAATGCGTTTACATACAATCTTACAAACCTGGGGTGCTGGGTTGAGGTTTCTTGAGGTTGTTGTTGCGCTTGCCCCAAGCTCACGTCTCGAGAAAGACGAAAGCTTAATTCTCGGAAACGTATGTATTTATTCATGAAAGCGTCACGCGTTGTGTTACGCGGTGTTAGGTTACGCGAGGAACCGTTGACGTGATATGTTATGAGGAATAGTTTGAAATATGGTCAATTTACTGCGTTAAATATTCCGAAATGTGAACATTTTACACACCTTGTGTGTCCGTTGCGGTTTCTGGTGATTTCTGCTATAAGACGGCTGGGAAATGTACAAAGTTTTAAAACATACGTGTTTCGCTTTTGAGCTTTTTGCTATGAAAGCGACCCCGGCTAGGCGGGTTACCCCACCTTGGGACGTTTAAATATTTGTCGTGTAACCTGCGACAAGCATGTAATTGAACTGAAATCAGTTTACTAGAGAAGCAAAAATTATCTTTGTTGCAAAACTCGGGGATTCTAAAATTTTAAAACGACTTAGGATAATCCTGAAAATTGCAGGTGGAACCCTTTGGCAACTATTCTGGTCGGTCTTATGAACAGATCAGGCGCTGACGGATTTTGGCGGCTTTGAAATTTTTGTGCAGATGTAACAGACGAAACGAAAATTCTTCATGACGAAATTTGTTCTTTGATTTGGTCGGGACAATTTTAGTCTTGTTCGCTAGTGCGGAAAGGTCCTTAGTGGTCATATGACAATAAACTTATTAACTGAATTCCAAGGTTTAGTTGAAGGAGAAAGAGAAGAGCAAGAGATGGTGAACTCTCGGTTTTGAGCAAGCTTACCAAGAGGTCGAGAGCAGAAATTATTGAAATGAGTCAGAACTCAGAAGCATTTCCGCTTAATTATGATCTGGTTATGAAGTCAACTCCCACTGAACCACTGAATTTACTTACAGACTTAAACGACTCTCCTTTAATTTACAAAGGTTGAACAGTAGATTAGATTTCATCCTCGTAAACAGATCTACATTTGTACCTGCGCTGGAAAACTCATTTGAGTAAAGCTATGGAAAAATTGTCAGTATTATAAGTTTAATTAACCCAGGGATTGAACAAGAAACCGGATCTCATCGCCGTAAACTGATCCATCTGCATGACTGAACTCGTTAAACCAAAGTTTTGAGAACATTTTTAGTGTTATCAGCTTAACGAAGACTTGCTCTGTAGTAACAACTTCTGTATGTTTTCCAATGGAACTTCATAGATGAACTCTACCTCAATAGCCTCTACGGCTTGGAGGTTGCTGTTCATTTTCAAGTCGAATCGTTAAGGTGTGACTACACTCCACTGACCAACAACTTGGAGTTTTCGTATTTCGGTGAAAGGAGGACCCTGGTTGGTTGCAGCCAATTAGTAAAGACGATGGGGGCGCCAATGCGTCAATATGACGTCATAAATCAATGCGTAATTTTATTTTGAGAAACTTTATTCAAATAATTCTTAAAGCTTGCTGGAAACACTCTCTTATATACTAAACTATGTCATAGCATTGCTGTTCTAACAACCTAGTACTGTGCTGTACAAGTTAAGTCTATTTCTTAGCTTTGTACTGAATATGAAAACAGCTTTGTTGGAAGCTGAGTAAGAAACTGAGGTAATTTTTTGATGATGCATGGAACAGTTTAGCACTTGATCGCCTGTAATAGGACAGTTTGCATCAATTAGACAACAAAAAATTGGACAAAAAATTGGACAAAAAATTGTCCAAAGCGACCGGTCATAATTAATCACCTGGGGACGGTAGGGAGGGGGTTTTGGAGGATTTCGAGAGGATTACGTGATTTACAGCGGAATGTAGGGATATAGGTAGTCGATAATAGAGTATAGAGGGCGGACCATGGAAAATTGATTGCTAATGGGGGGGGGGGGGGAGGGTCGGTTCTTAAGAATAAGAAGAGCCTTAGGGGGAATCAGGTATAGAGCTTGTGAACGCTTAGTTGATCTGACTGACCCGAAGTAAATCTGATCAAGAGTGCCAAATTCGAAGAGATGAAAACCCATATTATTTAAGTACAAAACATTAAGTGAAAACGCTATAGATAATGGAATATTGATTCAATATAAATTCATCTTCGTAGATAAACCATTGATGTGATCCATTTCTCAGTCATCTTCATCTGAGAGAGCTGAGTTGAGGCAAGCGCAAAGACCTGAAAAATGATGAAGCAAATTAGAGTTTTGAAACCTAATTAATTGACAATCTTTTCTAAGCCTAAAAATTCGTCTCCCCCAACGTGCGGCTTCGTAGCTCAGTTGGTAGAGCGCTCAGCTAGTATCTGAGAGGCCTGGGTTCGAATCCCGCTGATGCCTGAATCTTTTCAGGCTCTCTTTGGCAAGTGCTAACGTTCAACGGTATGAGGCGTTTCGGCAGTAACAAACGAGAACAATAACATTTTTTAAATAATAGTTTTAATGACAAAAAACTCAACATATTAATTTTCGGATGTAGCTATCCTATACGGACCTTACTCTATAAATATCTTATAACTTAATTATTAAATTTCTTTTTCTTATCCGTAAATTAGCTGTTCAAGAACGCTGAATCAATGCAATTCAGCTCTGAGAGTAAATAACTAAGGACATGAATGATTTAATGAATGAAAAAATGCATAAATGAATTTGAAAATGTATAAATAAATGCGTTGGGGGATTGATAAGTATTAGTAAATGAATAATGTCAATTTTGATCAAGGAATGATTTGACCGTTCTGAATGCCTGATAGGTTTTGCTTGCCTCTTCCTCCTTATAAAAAGCACCACATCTATAAGCTACAATAAGCCCTACCAAGTGAGGCCCTGAAAGCATTTGTTAATCTACCTTTCCCATGCAAGTCGTACCAGCTGTAGCCGCTTTCACACTTGAAACAAAAGTCTACACAGCTGTCTTTTGATGGTGGTGGAGAATTTACTACAACCGCCACTGGGGGAGGTAGTGGGGGAGGTGTCCTGGAAGAGGCCAAAATAAACAAAATGTTTTTCTTTTTAAATCTTCCATTAGTATAGATGTCATTTAAACTTCTGTCAGACTCATTGTGACACAGGATTGGTTAGTAAAAGATCCTCTCTTGGGGATTAAGATTGTTAAAAAAGGGGAAAGAACTGTCTCGGTTCTGAACAAAGAACTACTTCCCCAACGGGAAGTGGGGGAGATGTTCTGTAAATGGCCAAAATAAAATATCATGCATCAAAATAGATGTAGCGTGAACTCTTGTCAAACTCCACGGGACACTTTGCAGATCCTCTCTTCTTCCCAGACTCTAATCTTATGTCATATATAACCCCGCTTAAAATTCTTTCCAAATGCCATGTAACTATAATGAAGCAGAATTTACCTGGCCTGAACAACGGGAGGAGCTCTGAAAAAGAAAAAAACACCAGTAATTCATAAAATGTTAAAGAAACACAAATGAAATGCTCCGGCAACTTTGATATTTGCAAGGTGTGTATTGCATTACTTTGACAATGCAATACTTTATTGATTTATGAAAGTAGTTATCTAGTTATTTTTTTACATCAAGAGAGATAAATAGAAAAAAATGTGTCGAGATCATTAGAAAAGCATGTTTATAAAATAGGTTTTCACTCATTTTCATTTTTTCGATCAATATCATTTTTGTAATAATTGTCATTATTCTTAATATTATTATTATTATTCAATGATTACTGTCATCAACCGAGGCTGCATTGCGTCCTGTGTTAATTGCTAAAGTTCTCCATTTACAATCTGTTTTGATATTCTTCATTTTCCACTCTTGTAGTTTGTTGAAGGATTATGTCGAAGTCTCCTCGAAGCTTAACGTGACGACTAAAGACTAACTTTTACTGAAGACTTTTACCTTCGGGGCAAATTGACTTCTCTTGCCTCTATCACTTCCCTGGCCAAGATGCTGAAAGAAATTTAGGAGTAAGAAAAATGAAACTAACATCTAGAGTAAAGAACACTTAAACTGCACATTTTAGATGAGGTGAACCTAACAGAGAGACGAAACATAGTTGCAATAGGACAGATATCACTGGTCATCGTACAAAAGCCTTGGAGTCTACCAAAGAAACTCAGAAGTTCCAAGACTGATCCAGTAAGGGCTTGATTTCTTATTTACGTTTTATCTTTCTACCTCGGAACCAAATTGGAATGTATAGTGGCGAGTTCACGGGAATTCCCATTAAGTACTGCAACAGAGAGGAAAAAAATGTTTCGTCCCTGACAAAAGTTTTCAAAAAGGTGAAAGTGATATTTATCTACAATTACATGAAACAGTTATTGAAGGTGAGCAACAAGTATTCAAATTTGGCTTGCTAAATTATTTCATTAAAGCAAAGATTTAAGATCTGTTTAAATAGATCATTTATTCTGACGAGGGGCTAAAGCTCGAAAAGTCTTTGTGAACAATGTACATTAACAACTGTTGAGCTTAGGATCGTTTGAATAGCAAAATATCAATGCTTCACAAACAAGGTCACAATGTTTGGCCTAACCATTGGAGTGTAAAGATCAAAACAAAAAATTTAAACAAAGAAAAGTTATCAAAGTTTTACATATTTCTTCGAGAAGAAATATGTAAAACACTCGCTTCAATTTCACAAACGAATTCTACCAACTTAAAGAAATTTAAGCAGATTCAAATGACAGGCTCAATGATTAGGTGAATTCTCGGTCACAATATGAGTAAGCTTACTAACAGGTTGAATAAAAAAGACAAGTGAAATTAGTCAGTATTCACCATTACTTCCGCCTAATTGGTTATCCACTTATGGAGTCAATTGAATTTGCGCACATCAAACCACTGAATTCAATTAAGGGCAAAAACTAACGAAAGAATCATCGTTTTCAAGAGTAAACAAAGTTTACTTCACAGGGATTGAACGGGAACCAGATTTTATCGCCGTAAACTGATGCATCTTCACAACCGAACTCGTTACATCAAAGCTTAGGGAACATTTTCAGTGTCATCAAACTAACCCTTGTTCTGTAGCAACAACTGCTGTCGTCTTTTTCAATCGAACTCCATCGATAATGACGTGCTCTTCCTTAACAGCCACTACGGCCTGCGGGTTGTTATTCATTTCCACGTCGAATCGTCAAGGTGTAACTACACTCCACTGATAAATAACTTAAACTTTGCGTATTCAGTCGGGAAAGAAGGAGCCTATTTAGTTCCAACCAATTAGTAACAACAATGGTGACGTCACTGTGACGTCATGAACTTTAAATCCACGGTCTTGAGCTCAAAGTAGTCATTTCTGAGTAATGACATGTTAGTGATCATTGACACATCGATTAATTTTGTATTAAATCAGATTGATTATTTTAGAGACTTAAAGTCGAAACTCAGTAGCTGACCCATGCACGCCCTTCTTTTGTATGCAATTACGTCCTAGTCAGTTTGAAACAGAATTGTCGAAATTTTCATAACTTAGGGCCTTTTCCGCACTAACGACTAAGTTGTTTATTTCAGACACATTTTCTGTTCTCACCAACATTTTACAAGTGCAGATGGTTTGTGGTGACTTGAAAAATTTTGGCCAAAGCGGACAAATCTTCAAATGCACCGTCGACAAAATTTTCCCGGGTAAAAAATTTGGCAAATTCGACTAAATATACAAAACCGTGATAAACTTGTTAATCATTTGTCGTAAAGGCTACGACAAGCGTGTAATTGAACTGAAATCAGTTTACTAGAAAGGCAAAAATTGTCTTTTGCTGCAAAACTCGGGGATTCTAGAATTTTAAAACGACTTAGGATAAATTTTATTTTGAGAAACTTTATTCGAATAATTCTTAAAGCTTACTGGATGACACTCTCTCATATGCTAAACTATGTAACAGCTTTGCTGTTATAACAACCACGTATAGTGCTGTACGAGTTAAGTTCATTTCTTAGCCTTGTATTGAATATGTTAACAGCTTTGTTGGAAGCTGAGTAGGAAACTGAGGTAACATTTTGATGAAGCACGGAACAGTTTAGCACTCGATCGCCAATACCAGAGAAAGAACTGGTTTCCAGTAAGACAGTTTGCATCAATAAGACAATACCGTCAAATCATTTGTCCAAAGCGACCAGTCGTGATTTATCGCCTGGGTAGAGGGGTGGGTTTTGAAGGATTTTGAGAGGATCAGATGGTTTTCAAGAGGGGAAATGTAGGGGATATAAGTAGTCGATAACAGAGTATAGAGGGCGGACCATGGAAAATTGATTGATAATGGGGGGGGGGAGGGGTGGGGCGGGTCATTTGAATAACAAGAGCCTTAGGGGAAATCAGGTAGGGAGCTTGTGAACGCTACCTTGATCTGACTGACCCGAAGTAAATTTTCTCAGGAGTGCCAGATTCGAAGAAATGAAAACCTCATATTTTTTAAGTGCAAAACATTTAGTGAAAAGGCTATAGATAATGGAATATTGATTCAATTTAAATTCATCTCCGTAGATAAACCAATGATGTGATCCATATCTCACTCAAGTAAAGCTGAGATGAGTTTGAAGCACTCGTGAAGACATTTCAGCAATAACCATGCCAAAGCGAAAATTCCAATGATCAAGTAACCCACAAGCAGCAACAGGACAATGCAGAGACCTGAAAAATGATGAAGCAAATCGAAGTTGTGAAACCTAATCAACTAAAAATCTTTTCTAAGCCTAAAAATTCGTCTCCCCCAACGTGCTGCTTTGTAGCTCAGTTGGTAGAAGTACCCAGCTAGTATCTGAGAGGTCTGGGTTCGAATCCCGTTGATGCCTGAATTTTTCCAGTTTCTCTTTGGCAAGTGCTTATATTGCACCTCACCAAAGAGGATCATCTCTTCTTTTGAAGCTTGACTTCGCTGCAGAAATCCAAAGACTAGAAGTTCTACATTCTTCGAATGTGGGTTTGCAAAGGCGAGGTGAGTTAAGAGTTGCTAATTCAGTAACATCTTGAATGCTAAACACGAAAACGGATCTTTCTATTTTTTGTTCAACGCTATGAGGCGTTTCGGCTGTAACAAACGAGAATAATAACATTTTCTTACAATAGTTTTAAAGAGAAAAAATTCCACATATTCATATTTGGATGTTGCTATCCTATATAGACCTTGCTCAATAGAATCTGATGACTTAATTTTTAAATTTCTTTTTCTTATCCGTAAATAAGCTGTCAAATCGAAGAACGTCAGGACGCTGATTCAATGCAATTTAGTTCCGAGAGTAAATAACTAAGGATATGAACGAATGATTTAATGAATGAATAAATACATAAGTGAATTTGAAAATGTATAAATCGATAGATAAATACGTTGGCAGATTGATAGGTATAAGTAAATGAATGACGTCGATTTTGATCAAGGAATGATTTGACCAGACCGTTCTGAATGCCTGATAGGTTTTGCTTGCGTTTCTTTCTTATAAAAAGCTCCACATTTATAAGCTACAATAAGTCCTGGCAAGTGAGGCTCTGAAAGCATTTGAGTATCTACCTTTCCCATGCAAGTCGTACCAGCTGTAGCCGCTTTCACACTTGAAACAAAAGTCTACACAGCTGTCTTTTGATGGTGGTGGAGAATCTACTACAACCACCACTGGGGGAGGTAGTGGGGGAGGTGTCCTGGAAGAGGCCAAAATAAAAAAAAATGTTTTTCTTTTTAAATCTTCCATTAGTATAGATGTTATTTAAACTCCTGTCAGAATCCTTGTGACACAGGATTGGTTAGTTAAAGATCCTGTCTTGGGAATAAGATTGTTAAAAAAGGGAAGAGAACTGTCTCGGCTCTGAACGAAGAACTACTTCCCCACCGGAAGGTAGTGCGGGAGATGTTCTGAAAAAGGCAAAAATAAAATATCATGCATCAAAATGGATGTGGCATGAACTCTTGTCAAACTCCTCGTGACACTTTGCAGATCCTCTCTTCTGCCCAGACTCTAATCATATGTCGTATACAACCCCGCTTAAAATTCTTCCAAAATGCCTTTTAACTGTAATGAAGCAGAATTTACCTGGCCTGAACAACGGGAGGAGCTCTGAAAAAGAAAAAAACACCAGTAATTCATAAAATTTTAAAGAAACACATATGAAATGCTCCGGCAACTTTGATATTTACCAGGTGTGTATTGCATTACTTTGACAATGCAATACTTTATTGATTTATGAAAGTAGTTATCTAGTTATTTTTTTTTTATCAAGACAGATAAATAGAAAACAAATGTTTCGAGATCATTAGAAAAGCATGTTTTTAGAATAGGTTTTCGCTCATTTTCATTTTTTCGATCTATATCATTTTTGTAATAATTGTTATTATTCTTAATATTATTATTATGCAATGATTACTGTCATCAACCGAGGCTGCATCGCGTCCTGTGTTGATTGCTAGAGTTCTCCATTTACAATCTGTTTTGATATTCTTCATTTTCCGCTCTCGTTGTTTGTTGAAGGATTATGTCGTAGTCTCCTTGAAGCTTCACGTGATGACAAGGGCTCAATGACGAAACTCTCTTAAGTTAAGGCTAAAGGCTAACATTACTGTAGACTTTTACCTTCGGGGCAAATTGACTTCACTTGCCTCTATCACTTCCCTGGCAAAGATGCTGAAAGAAATTTAAGTGTTAGCAAAATGAAACTAACATCTTGAGTAAAGAACACTTTGACTGCACATATTAGATTGGGTGAATCTAAGAAAGAGACGAAACATAATCGCAATAGGACAGATATCATTGGTTATCGTACAAAAGCCTTGGAGTCTACCGAAGAAACTCAGAAGTTCTAAAACTGTTCCAGTGAGGGCTTGATTTCTTATTTACGTTTTATCTTTCTACCAAGGAACCAAATCGGTATGTATAGTGGCGAATTCACGGGAATTCCCATAGAGTTTCGTCCCTAACAAAAGCTTTCTAAAAGGAGGAATTGATATTTTTATCTACAATTACATGAAACAGGTATTCAAATTTGGCTTGCTAAATTATTTAATTAGAGCAAAGATTTAAGATCTGTTTAAACAGATCATTCGCTCTGACGAAGGGCTAACGCTCGAAACGTCTTTGTGGGCAATGTACATCAAGAACCAAATTGTCTTGTTGTGCTTAGGATAGTTTTAGTGGGAAAATATCTATGCTTTAGAGACTAGGTCGCACTGTGTGGCTAAATCATTGGAGAGTAAAGACTAAACAAAAAATTGAAACAAAGAAAAGTTATCAAAGTTTTACATATTTCTTCTCGAAGAAATATGTAAAACACTCGCTTCAATTTTACAAACGAATTCTACCAACTTAAAGAACTTTAAGCAGATTTTAATGACAGGCACAGAGGACAAGGTGAATTCTTGGCTACAGTATCAGTAAGCTTACTAAGAGGTTGGATGAAAAGACAAGTGAAATTAGTCAGAACTCAGCATTACTTCCGCCTAATTAGTCATCCGTTAATGGAGTCAATTAAATTTGCTCACATCAAACCACTAGATTCAATTAAGGGCAAAACATACGGAAGAATCATCGTTTTCAAGAGTAAACAAAGTCTACTTTACTAAGGTTGAACAGGAAACCAGGTTTCATCGCCGTGAACTGATCCATCTTCACAACCGAACTCGCTAAATCAAAGCTTTGAGAACATTTTCATTGTTATCAGCACAAACTAACCCTTGTTCTGTTGCAACAACTGCTGTCGTCTTTTTCAATTGAACTCCATCGATAATGATGTGCTCTTCCTTAACAGCCACGGCCGACGGGTTTTTACTCATTTCCAAGTCGGATTGTCAAGGTGTGACTACACTTCACTGATAAACAACTTAAACTTTGCGTATTCAGTCTGGGAGAGAAGGACTCTGTTTAGTTCTAACCAATCAGTAGCGACAATGGTGGCGTCACTGTGACGTCATGAGCTTTAAATCCACGGTCTTGAGCTCAAAGTAGTCATTTCTGAGTAATGACTTGTCAGTGATAATTGACACATCGATTAATTTGTATCAAATACAGATTGATTATTTGAGAGACTTAAAGGTCGAAACTCAGTAGCTGACCCATGCACGCCCTTCTTTTGTGTGCAATTACGTCCTAGTCAGTTTGAAACAAAGTTGCCGAAATTTTCATCACTCAGGGCCTTTTCCACACTAACGACAAAGTTGTTTATTTCAGACAAATTTTC